AATAACAGCCGGATTCAACAAACTGTGCTATGTGACAGTGATTTTAAAGAGGATGTAAGAAATCTATTGAGTCTTTTGATCAGCATTCATTGGAATAGTATTCCGAGCATACCAAATGAAACGGATGATAGCGTGACATTTCTAGACTTGGAAATTCATAGTTTGTATAATGAAGTAGTTTAAGTAATCGTTGAGTAGCCACTATGTAGAATTTTGAAGTATTGTGCTAATAAAATAGCAACGCCGTTTAGTGTGCAATTTGCTTAACGAGGCCGGAAGAATTTGTTCCAAGGTCATTTCTGGACGCCAACAGTTGATACTAGTTTGAATCAGCTAGCTCTTACCATCACAAATCATTTGTAAAAAAAACTGGGGGGTACGTGCTGACACCAGCAAAACAATTACAAGGTCGGCAGTCTTAGGTTATGATTCCCCTGAGTGAACAAAAAACTCGACAAAGTGTGGAATTCCAGGCGTGTAGGAATAGAATGGAGTGGTACTTTTTGAGTTTGCGACACCTTGTGGATGAATGTCTGAACATCACACTTCTAACATGGGTGCATGATTGCAACAAATATTTGGGCAAGTATGTATCGAACTATGGCCCAGATTTTGTCCTTGTACCTACAAATTCCTAAACAACCAACGATACAACAAAAGGGGCATTTGGTTGTTTTTAGAAGGTAGTCTAAAGTCGAGGCCTCTTCGAGGAGAACACTGATCACACAAACGGACAGATTACACGGACTCAACCAAAGCGCTCCATTCATTCATTTTTGTCATGATACGACTGGACACACAAGCCTGTGTAGATGGTGAAAAAGTGAGGAAGGAAACTCACATGACATTGTGTTCACTGAAGGCAATCTTGTCGTGGTTTCAAAGTAGTCAGTTCCACTTGTATTCTGTGGACTAATGAACAAACAGCTTCTTTCCGTATCCACGGTAGCTATGGGGGACAGACAATCAGGAGTGTTAGTGGTTGAAATATCAGACAACTGGGAGACCGGACCTTACTGCGGTGTGACAGTGTGTGTATACTGGGCAGCGTTTGTTTGACACTCGCCTACCAGATTGGTCACTGGGTAGAAGTCTGGTTAACACAATCCCTAGTCCCCAAAGATTGGGGTTGGAAAATGTTTGGAGACTTGCTGCTTAAAAATGCAGACTTCTTTGAAGGTCTTATGCCAATCACTCCATTGCGGTGAGGATTTTGGGCCAAAGGGTGAGCACCTTCACAGCACCGTAGTCCACGCACAACCACGGATCTCATGAACACTTACCAATAATTTCATGATGATGATGACAGTATGTGAAATAATGACTAATCTTGCATAACCAAACTGAGGGGTCACAACAGTTCATTTTCTTTTTAGGCTGCCTTCTCCGGCACCAAAATTCAACTAATGAAGGTTTTCCCAACATCCAGACATCTGTCGGAGTGCCGAGTTAAATCATACCACATCCATTCCTCTAAAATAATGGCAACAGTTATGTTAGTGCAACATCCAGAAAAGCACACGGACTTCAATATTCCGTTTACATTGAAATGCAAGCAACTCATCACGGAACTTTTCACTCCTGACCTCACTGCATCAACCGGGCAAAGTGGATGAAAAGTCATTATAAAGTAGATCCGGTGAGCTCCTACAGGACTCTTTGGTCGATCTTGACGGTAGGTTTTAATCATGAACTCGGTTATCACGGCCTAGTACTTTCTGGGGTGGAGATGTAAAAACTTTGGTCATTTTTATGATCTGTACACCGCTAGCAAAGTTTCTCTTCCAGATCTATAATTATCATTTACATGAACACGCTATTCTGAATTCGACATTATCCTACACACACGGTGCTCAGAGAATAGCGTCATTCGATACACGCATTCTGTCTGTCGACTAGGGTTTAGCATCAGCCTATCAAACAAAACACACACGGGAACTGAACAGACTTTCCGATACTGCCTCCGCACTAGTATGCCCGCTGACAAAGAAACGAAGTGTGCATCAGTCAACTACCGTTTTTACAAAAAGGTTGTGTTCTGAGCAGGATGTCCAAATTTGAACCAAACTCCCAGTTGGCGCAGCCAAAAACGTCCTGTGACCACTGATTGGCGCAATGGAATGGGTTAAACGTCTTACGATGTACGTATGCTAGTTTAGTGCAGTTTTCTACTCTTCTGAAAGTGTTTTACAGCCTCGTGGTTCTGCACATTCTGAATTCTCAAACTGATGACCTTTGGTCACCTCAAAGCATTTCCACCATATGGTTCAGCTGTTCGTTTCAACTCATTATATTACGCGATTCCACCCCACTTTGTCTGGTAGGACTTTTAGCTTGAAGTCACACCATAGAGACACATCTAATAAATGCGTGGAAGGATGGAAAAAAAAGTTGATCTAGCTGTTTTTTATTGAGAAAAATTAGTTGTTGGTTGATAAAGCTCAGTGGTTTGGGTCCGGACATAATGACCGGAAGTTCCATGGTTCGTTCTCGCTCTCCGCTCCCGTCTGGGCTTGAGCAATCTGGCAGTATATCAGCCCTCGTATTTCCTTTGGGTGGCATGGTAGCTAGACGCCAAACCGATGTATTAACTGAACAGCTATTACGGTGGTTCTTTATTTTTATGCTAAATGGGACAGGCGACGCTAGGTACCCTAGATTCCTTAAGAAGTTGCTTCACCGAGCTTGATCAGTTGATCTTGGATGACTCTATTAAACGTTGGCTTCCCAAGGTCCTACGCTGTCGACTTGGCTTTGCTCTACTAAGACATGGGCAGGCATCAATTCACTGTATAAGACAGGTGTACAACCGCTTTATTGAATTATGGTGAACACATTTCGACTACTACTTATAGGTTAATTTACTGCGGTTGCTAACGCTGATAACGTAAATGGCCACTACACACTAGCTTACGGATAATAAAGCCATTTTGGATGGTAGAACGGAAAGGTGAAGTGAACAGCGTTTGAGCGAACGATCGAAATGCATAGATGGATTACTATTACATACTCTGGGAGACTAAAGTTAGGAAATTCAAGCTGCCCAGCGTAATAAAATGCTGGAAAATGAGCTGTACAGTTGTGCAATTCTACGAGCGTTTTTAGAAGACATTCCATTAAAGTACAGTCTTTTTACACTAGATGAATGCTGGGAGTTAAACCTGGACGTCGTTTGCGTCTGGATTTGGTTTTTCTAAGATGAAACTAAACATAGAATTGGAGTTTTGCGATGCCAAAATGGGTGGAAAACTAGTGGTTGTTTGTAGAACAGGTGCTCTATTGGCAAAAACATCGAGCGCTGTTAGCTAGGGGCTCGGTCACGTGCTAAGCGTAAGAACAACCTACAGCTGCGTGTCCTATGAAACCATACTTGCCAAGTTCGCTGCAACCTTTCTTGGGAATGAAGTTTGCAGACTGGCTAATGAGATTGCACCAGTGGGATCAAAGTTACCAACAAATTTCACATGATCATCCAAGTTGCTTACAATGTTGCCGGAGCTGTCGCCCATAGGTAACATGCTGGTTAGCGATTCAGCAATGTTTCAAGCTGTGCAGGCTATTCATATCTACATGTCAAAGTTGATCGCGTCCGTCGAAGTCGGGGAAGGTAGTACAATTTTTTGGCTTTAAATTCACGTCACTCACGTTCGAAGACACAGTCACCAGTTCTACTCGTGCCCTGTTACAATTATTCTGCATAGTGCAAACCAAAGAGGTGGTGAAACGGACTCGAGTTTCCCTCTTATTCTTGCTAGGATTTTCAGCGCAACACTACTGGTCACCGGTACAGGTTGGATGCGACTGAATCTTCACACCTGAACACTCTTTAGCGATGTGATTGGCTTGTCGAACGTCTTGGATGGAGACCCAGTGACGCACCTGGTCACAGTGACCAACCGACTAGCCTGAAAGGAATTCCCTGTCAGTGCTTGAAAACTCTTGAACAATTCCGCTCAGTCGAATGCGACTGTTGACAAATGCCCCCTCTTTGGACTGGATGAACTAGGTACGCCCCGTTTTACGCCTATGGCGCAACACTCTCACCCCACGTGTCACACGTCCGGGGTTTGGAGCATGACACAACTAAGGATATTCACCATCCGTGAGCTGTGCAAATATAACTCGAGGGCGGGGTTTCTACCCTCTGGTGCGAAGTTGTGAGAATAATTGCACTAGGATATGAAGAGCGTTGTCCAAATGTGAGTTGGGTAAACGCAGAATGTAAGAATCATACAACCATATAAAATGGGATACCTGGATATTAACTCATGGTCAGTAATTAGCTTAGGGAAATTATACGTAAACGCGCCAGCCTTCGAGTGTGAGTGATATATGCGTGCTAAACCAAATGGGTTGCATAAGAATTCAAGGGTACTTTTTTCGCCGCGTAGAAGTGAGCCACGTCTTAACGGGTAAACTCCAGGAAGTCGTTGTAAATGGATAGGTTCCTTTGAAAAACAGTCAAATAACACCTGTTGTCTTATGTCAAGGTGTGCACACGTTAGGAAATGAATTCGGAAACTTGCGCTTGGCGGAAGTCATAGTGTGGCTTCGTCTACTCGATCGGTGTGGTCACGTGCAAGCAGGAAATGTGAGACGTCACAAAAACAACTGCCAGGTCAAAAATACGGTATCAAACAAATCCTGTCCGAGCTTTTTCCTATTCGTACGATGGAACATCATGGTGATCATGTGGGGGTACCGCTAAGCTTTGAATAGCTCTCCCTCAATCTGTCCTTCAGGGAGAATTACATAATTGTGCGCTAGGTTCACTGGCGCGTAAAAAAAGCTGCACGTGGTTTGGGGTCACGATGTGGATTCTGAAATTTCATCTCCCCATTCTGACCCCCACTGGGTGAGGTTTATATAGAAATCGAACAGATGCAATTGACCACACAAGTCCTACACGAGTTTACAAATCACATGGGTAACAATCACATTTTATGTGATTGTGAGTAACCTTCGGGTGAATGAAATACTTGCAAAGAATAATTACTTACTACGACTTAAGGAACGGTCACAAATAGAAGGGGAGGTTAACAATTCCAACTGTTCGTGCTCTAGATTTTCGGTGACATAAGTTGCATTTGGAGTGGCTGGGTTATCCAGGTCTGAAAAGAAACAGCCGCTTCAATAACTGAACGGGAATAAACCAATATTAAAAGTTTCAAATTCTTTCAAATGGAATATCATTTGTCAAACGAAAAGTCAAAAACGGTTTGACACAGAGATGTCCTTCTCCAAAGAGACCAAACGAAACCGGTCGTTTGAGAATTGTGGTAAGTTTTGGAGTCTTAGGAAAACTTCTTCAAGTTCAGAGCACGCGTGGACTTCCGGTGCACGTTTTGGCCAAGACCTATTTCGGAAGATACTGAAAATCCATTGGTCACTTTCGTAAAGAATACACCAGAGCAGACAATTCTAGATCATCGCATTTAATGTAGAATGTCGCAGAAACTATACGTATATGGTCGTGCAAGTGCGTAACTTAATGTAGTAGGTGCGTGTTGGGAAGGAGCCACATTACTCAAAGATTAGTCATTGTGGGGTGCTTATGTACTTGGCTCTCGGCTCTCATCTTAGGCTAGTGGGCAAAAAAACGTTCACGTCATACGTGCTAATGGTGCTGGAGGTCATCAATACAAAAGGTGAAAGTGAAGATAGCCAAACGTAAAATTTTCATATGATCGCGGGTGGGTAGTCGCATCAAATCAGTTGAAATTTTGATGTCAACTGGTCAGAAAGAGGTGAATTTTGTTAGTGCTTTATAGTTGATCATATGAGATGCACTCACCGTTTAAAGGGGAGCAGTCTGTAAAAGTTCGGTGCGATCGGTTCGACTAAACTTGAGGCGGCGAGCTCAAAACACGAAGTTCGGTCGGGCCAGATGAACCAGACGCATCAGTTGTGGCTTGACTGAGTGGCGTTAACATGTTCTTTATGCAAGACAAGAAACCGGATAGAGAGCCCAAGGTGGCCAGGTGGTCAGTGCCGACGGGCTCTACCAACGTCTGAATTCCAATCCAGTGGAACATTTTGGGGGAGAAATAACTCACCCTCGATAGATAAACTGATCACACTGCATTGGTTGCTCTGGCTTGTCCACGTGCTGCGTATGCCAGTCGACCGACTTCCTCGAAGGGCTCTTTTCGCCCAACCATGTGAAGGGTGGAACAGAGCCAGAGACGGTCAAACAATGACTTGGCAGCGAACTATGAAAGCCATAACCAGCGAACTCAGCTGCGCTCATTGCCGTCCATCAATGGCTAGAAACATTATCAGACGGCCCAGTCGCACCCTCAGTGGCGCTCGTGCATCCAAGCTGTTGCCTTCAATGCATAGCTCTCTACCCAATGCCCCCCACTTGGCAGCCCACTGACAGTGCTGGATTTATGCGCCAATTTATCAGCTCCCTCCTGCAATGCGCAGCTACCTACCCCTCCCCTCAAATCATCGGTGAACGAAACTGTGACAGCTACAACCACTGTACGACTACACGGTTATTACAGCTGAAAGTGATTAGAGGAAGCTCGTGATATACAAAATTGTGTGCACCTTACTTCCTTAGGCTAATTTGTAGGCCAAATTTGGAGTGTCAACCAAATGGAACTTAACGGAGAACAATTGATCAAAGTTTGACTGGAACAGGGATAAAGCTGGTTGTGTTAAAATCTCACCTGATTGGCTTGACACTGGGATGTAGGACATTTTCGAGCAGGTATGATTCAGCAAACCGGAAACTGATGGTCTAGTGTTCGCACTCAGCAGAGTCCTACAAATGATAGGTGGGCCCAATTGGACGGTCTCCAGTAGACCTAAAAGGTTTACAAAAAGGATGAAAGCATGCTTGATTAGTATATGTGTGCGCATAAATATGATATTTGCCCTCGCTTTATCGAAGATTCAAAAGGCCGATGTTCCCCTCCTCCATAACTTAGTTTACAAATGTTGATCACTAGGCTAGCCGTCCGCTGCCTGAGAAACTTCCTGGACATGTTCGATAGAATTGAATCTAAAATCTAGCACCTCGAGATTCACTGGCTATCCATAAAAAGTTAGCTTTAAGAAGCCGCTGTCCTTCTACCTGACCGTGTCATAACACACGCTAGTGGCACATTACTTCCAAGCCTTATTTTGTGAGGTAACTTGCTGTGCACAAAGTTAACTATCCAGCCTCAGATTATCGAGTGGTTGATTACATAGGAGTGAGAAAACCACTCGGCCAAATGTTAGCCAAGTTGTCCAATGCCGCATGGACTCAGTGCGACAGATTGACCGCATCAGCGATGATGTATTTCCCACTGTAGTCCATAGCCCACACATGCAGTGAAATGTACCCAAATCTGATCCTAACATGTGGAGTTTTTGCGTAATTTAGTTAACAGACAAGTCACTAGGGTATGGACCTCATTTTGGCTAGAGACGAACCACATCTTTGACAAGCTTCTTTTTCACGACAGTGAGTTGTGCGTTGCAGCTGAGAAAGAGGCAGCAACCTAAACAGGATGATTTTTATCTTTGTAATGTACTACTCATAAGGTTGCTGAAAATCCGTCGACAGCCCAGGACCGGTTCCGCCCTTTTTGGGGCTCATCAGGTAAGCGCAGTCCCCGGGTTTCCGTAGCGACTGAAACATGACGCGGCCTGGTGCAGCACATTCAGTTGCTTGAGGACATCACAAACGAGAGATTCAGCTGGGTTCCAGGTGAATCTCTCGGAAAACCAAATTGGTTTGCAAATGAGTGTATATTCACAGGAGGATTTTTCTTGTATCGTATGAGAGAAACACCTAAAAGATTGTAAATGCCCCACCTCTGCAGGACTTTCTTGCCGCCTCAGTAAAGCTGCTGTGGCAATCGAGGAATATGAGGTTGCCGACTTGAGAAGTATTCCCATCCGCAAGTTCTATTTATTTGGCAATCTAAATTTATACTTCACTGTGTACTCGAAAAGCAGACGAGGGATAAAATGTGCTTCTATACGTCCTAGATATAAGGAGACGGAGAGAGGGGATCAGTTGTGCTGTTTGCCTGGTCACACTCTAACATACTCGACTGCCAAACACTTCACCGGTTAACATGAACTCATCTTTTGAGATCGTCAGGATGGGTTGTGATCCAGTTTAGTGACTTCAAAGAGGGTATACATACAGGGCGGCATCTAGCCCATAGACAACTGACTTCTTGGTAGCAGTCGATCTAACTACCAAGTTAAGCTTGGTTTGCAGACGCTTCGTCGCCAGTATCGCAGTTTCTGTGTAACGCGGGGGACATCCATCGTTTGTTGGATGATAAGCCTCTGTCAGGTCGAACATGATAATGCTTTTGCTCACAGAGTCTTTTCTACTGCTTAGTCCTACATTATCTGAAATGCGTCTCATCGCACACGTACCACACAATGCTGGACACAAGCGTACGAAATATTATGCGCTTGTTTTGGCCTACCAACAAGGATCGAAACAAGTTTGTCGAGGGAAAACGTTTATGAACATGGCTTACAGTATTTTCGATGTGATTCGTGGAATATGCTGCAAATAACTGGAAACTTTGGGTAGTATTTTCGAATACCTAGACCAGCATAACTATTTTAGCTAATTACGGCATTTTTTAACGAAATTTCCTCAGTGATTTCAGGTACTCTACTCCACATTAGTTTGATTTCATTTCATAAATACTCAGAATGATGTGGAAGTGGAAATCGGTTGTTGCCTAATAGACGATTTCAGCAACCAGACAATGATGCTGACCGGAAGCGGCGCTTCGGTTGACATCAAAATCCTAACTGTTCCTTCATCCGTCCAATTAACACACAAACACGCACCTGCACTATAATGAAATCCCAAGTCATAATTAAAGGGAATTAGAACAATCCGACCTTTGCAGAACTGGTTACATATGTTATGACCCTGGATCTATCTACAGTCTCTCCCTCCTAATGCCTCCCCCCGGAGACCGCGAGTGCCTGTATCTTTGGCACAAGAGATTGACAAGCTTGCGCACTGTCCTCTTTGGAATGTAGTCTCAGGTCTCTCTTTCCCCTGGTCCCAAGTTTAGTGCAGGCAGATTCTGATTCTTGCGTCAAGCACAGAATCGCGTTACCCATACACCGCACAAAGCCAGATTTCTGGAATTAGTTTAACATCCAAATTGGCCACTTTAAAAGCGATTTTTCTCCGTACTTCTAAATATTTCATCGTACAGGGAAACCGCTCTCGCTACATCCGTCGATTCCGCAAAAAGCGATCCAGTTCAGAAAAGCAAGATTTCAAGGCCTTTAAACCACCGAGTTTTTCACCGTTGTCATTGAACGAGTTTTTTTTTACCGAATCGGTTGAGAAACTTGTCCAACTAGAAAGATCGCAACAGTGACAGCGGCCGGAACTCCCTGCGGATAGTGTTCAGGCTATCATTCTGTATACGAATGCGTTTTCGAAGAGCGATAAGCACCTAGTTGGAAAGATGGAGGTAGGTTAAGGGCCTCATTTGTACAGCTTTTGGGACCCGTTTGTCGGGTGCGAATCTGGTACAGCATACCCGACGATTCCTTCAGTAGTAGTGTTTCCAGATCTGGCGGATATTTGTCTAAACCACTTACTCGGCTATATCCTTGTGTAATAGGAGGGACACCAGTGATGCCCATTACTGGTTCGTCACATTGGTGCGACTCCTACTTAGCCGCGTCTGTTGCAAATCATAAGACCGTTCATTTTGATCTTATTCCTATTCAAACATCCTGTCAACAACACCAGAACCTGATTGGCTGGACAAACCCTGGCCTCGAGTACACTCAGACTGACGGCGTCCACAGGCGTCTATAGCTTAGGTCACACAGCAGTGTATATAAACAATGTATGTGACAGTTTCATACTTACCCATAGCTGATTCACGTTCCCAACCAGTCGAGACGGTCACGTGAGCCAGTTCAGTCACACTGTGAATGTCGCCACCTGAATAGCTGGTTACAAGCTCTGGAAAACACGAATGAATTTGATGCGTTCATCTGCTTTATGTAAGTCTACGGCTGATATTCAACAACTGGACCGTTCCGAGTGATGGTGAAAAAGTCTGCACTAGTGCACCAGCCATGAATATGGTATGAACTCTATAAGGTAACGGTCATCCATTAGATCGGAGCGAACTGTTTAGAATTTTTTTATTGTGGCGTCATCACCATGGGAACCGGGATAGGACCTCTGATTACCAAAGTTTTGGCAAGTAATCACACGGAATATTTTGCACTTAGATCTCTCTGGTGTTTTGTAATTCCCTAAGTTGATAAGGTCAGCATTATCCCATATAAAAGTTTGCATATATAATGTCCTTTTCGGACTGTATGACACACTGACTTGGTGAGCATCTAAAATGATTTATCAGAGACCAGCAGATAGATATAGATCTTGTTCTAAACTACCCATCCGCCCATCCTAAAATAGGATAAACTTGCAATATCTAGTGGAAATTTAGTCGAAACAGAACTTGGTGCACAGAAGAAATCGGTTATAAAACAGACTTCAAGAAAGTGGATAACCAGTGAGTTTGGTCAGGCGACAAGTAGGAAATACAGTATCTCCGGAGTAAGTCACATTTGTTCATCAGCTATAAACAGGTTCTGCCACTGCAAAAAAGGGAGACGAAAGGGGCACATCCAAAGGCCAGGGAGTACAACCTAATCATTTAGTTCGTACCGAATCCATTTGGATATTTGAAGGTGCCTGAAACTTGGCAGCTACGCATGGAAGGGAATAGCTTTGATGCACGGATCCAAATGACCCCTATCTGAATACAGTTCATATATGAACTCAAGTAGAACAAGCAGATCACACAAAAACCCACACAGAAAGATACCGGTTTGACATGATGTTTGAAAAAAGCCTGATGCAACTGAACACATGTTTACAACGACCCGAACTTGGAAGTAAATGATACCATTTGGTGTTTGATTCGAACTGCTTCAAGTTCTGTCTAATAATTCTTTTGCAGAATGTGACTATAGGTAACGTGGGGAGGAAAACACAGATAGATGTTGATAGGTCATTCCGGGTTGTTGCTACCACCACCTAGCAGACTTGGTCTGCTCACTACCTTAAGATTCCAGGCTGGAACACCAGCCTTTCATTCAATCAGCCATAAAGAATATCGTGTGTTTCAAGCGCTTGTAAACTATGCATAGCTCACGAGGGTGTTTTTAAGCTCCCACACACAGGTGGGCACAGCAGAATAGTTTGCGGAATCTTACAGTCACCTGAATTGAAGGATATTTTTAACATTAAATAATGTATCATTGTACGTCATGAAATCACCTAGGTTTTTTGTTTACGTATCCCAAACCACACTTTATGTGAAGTAAGCTACTCTGCTAGGCTTATTGCAACGTTGGTGGCAATTTACGCTTTTCGTACCGAGGGTTGCATCCCGTGGAAACCGGTTGAATTCAAATCGAAGAATGCTGACAAAATCAAAAGAAACAAAGCGATATCAAGAAAGAACCTGTGATTGGTGATATCAAATTTTCTTCTCGAATGATCTCGCCAAGTTGAGTTTATTTCAGGACGGTTGTGGAGATTTTAGTGTAGCCCACTATAATCTCTAGAAAATAAAATGCTCGCTGCCACTCATAAACGCAGTACTTATCTCCACACAGGGCAAATGTGCTGTTCTGACCGAAGATCGCCTGTATCATCAGGGAGATTGCAAACTCCACTTTACATGGAATAGAAGTGCGGGTTCAAATGGCATTAGTTTCATTAGACATATCCAATAGGAATGGTTTGCCCGTTGGTTCACGAGCTCAGGTTCGGTGTTCTTTATACCGACGATTCTTTTGTCACCCCACAAGTTCGCTTCGACGTGGCACTTATAACTTTTTGTGAACATCCCCACCGGTTGCCATAGAATTCGACAAGCACACGGGCATAACAACTTGGGCTTGTGGTATGTAGTTCGCTGTCTCGGGTAAAGTGATACATGATCGGACCTTCCCAAATGCAGTATCATGAGAATACGATAGCCTCGGACCTGCTGTGCTCAAATCGTGATAAAAAAAACTCCTGCTCAGGATGTGAGCAACCCAGAACTTGATCCCCAGCGTAGCCATGTGTGTGTACCCCTTAAAACAACCACTAACTTCATTACCCAGGTCTGGTGCTTCACCGTAATAATTGTTTCAATAAATTGGAGGGCTATTCCTGTATCAGTACCACGGCTCTGTTGCCTATCGAGTATGATTACACCGTTGAATTTGTAAATCCGTCAACTGTTTTTTTTTCGGTCAACAGTGAGGTTAGTATGTTACACACTAAATTTCATTATCAGTGCCGGACTACATTCATTGAATACACAGCCTCACCTGAGAGTAAAGAAGTCCGAGGGTCTCCATCACCCAGATAAACGAGGGTTGATGTGAAATTGCCTGGTTTGCACTGAGTCGTGTTTGCTGGAGATTCTTTGGTCAGTTCCACAAATCCGTCCTCCGTTCCGGGCGGCCAAACAGCACCACGGAGCGGGGAGTATGAACCCGATGTGCACGTGTTGGCAAACACCTCCGCAAAACACTTCGTTCTCGGTTCTATTGGACTATATAGTCCTTTACGATGTGGACAAGGAGTTACGTTTCCCTGAATTTCGATACGGGAGAAATACTTGTATTAGGTGGTTTCTTTATGCGAGCAAGTGTAATTATAATCAGATTGGGCTTTTAATAGTGATTGCCTGCGATAACACCTCCTAGTTAAACTGGTTAAGATATACACATATCACAAAATTTATATCAAGAATAAGGAAATCTCAGAGTGAGTTGGGGGGAAGTTTACATTACTCATCTACTCACATAGTTTGTGATCGAAGACATGGCTGCAAAAATTTTATTCTACTCAATATTGATCACCCACCAATTCTGTGATCACTGGAATGTCCATTCATTATTGAGAAAATCAATCCTAATTGAATAACTACGATTGCAAAGCTGATTTTTACCATACTATAGGAGGCTCCGAGACAGAATAAACGTTCACATACCTGAACTTTGATGCACTTTGCAGCCTCAAGTAGACCCCAAAAATGGAAGGTTTGACTTCAGGGACACGGCATATGGAACATCGATAATAACACAGAAAAAATTAGCGTGATAAACAGTTAATAGGAAAGCAGTACTGATAGGTTTGGTTTCAAAAAAGTTACCTCAGTTGCCCCATGACCAGAAGCAAATGGCCAGAAGCACCTGGTTATGACTTTTTGGAATGTTGTAGGTGATAGATGTGAATAGCCAGTGTAACGGTTACCCTGTGTGCATCAGTAACAGACCACTATATTCTGTCGAATTTAAGCAACAAGCAAAAGGCTATAGAGAGAAAGCAGGGGACAACGAAGGTTTATGGTTGTCAGACCACCCAGAAGAGAACAATTGATGAGTATCTAATGGAAGTGAACACACCAAACAGACAGGGATGAGTGAGGACAAAAGGTGGATATCAGTCACACCAAGACAGGGGGCATTACGGTTCAAGATTTTAACCCGTTGTGGTGTTATCAAACCTTGTGAGTAGTTTCCTTAATCAAAGTAAGGTGATGCTCAACACAGAGCCGTCTGATAAGTATAATGACCTAGAATGTATCCTAACCGGAGCACCCTTAGTCAGCTAGTTGCCAACGATGTGGGTGGTACGCTGAGTTCCTTTCTGTAAGTCCACGTTCAAGAAGCTTTAGAGGCAAAATGTGGAGAAGAGACAGATACAAAAGCAGCATCGCCAGATTAGACACTGTCATGAGCATATCCGAGAAAAAAGGTATATGAAAAATTATAAAAGTCTGGCTACTAATGAGTAGTCTGAGTTTTATCATTTCAACATGCACAAAGCCAACGGGCGAGATGAATGGATATGGTAACTGAAGCCGCTAACATCTGTTATTGCTTATAGGTCATTCATACGAGCAACGGACATGAGTCATGATGACCTTCATGCTGATACGTAGGCACTTAATCCTTTTTTCCTTTAGTTGGAACGATAACTCAAAATGTTGTGGATTCTAATAGGCCGTGTACTGCTTCCATGTTACTCTTCACTATATCCAAATCTTACCGCTGAATATACTTCAGGTTTATGAAGCTCCTCTTGAAACGAATTGATATGTTATCTCAAAGCAGCCCGTCTATTTCAACTTCATACACCGAGCTCCATGACAAGTTATTTAGTCCAAGCCCATTTCAAGACTACATTTGACTGGAAATTTCACACCACCTTCATACAAGCCGAAGTTATTATATTCGCACTTGCCCTTTGTGAGGAACACCGAGGACCTAAGACAAAATAATCGAGTGACATCCACCCGCATCTTAGTTTCAGTCATGGTCAATAGACCGGTGGATGTTTCATGTCTTGTTTGGAAACTCTTCGCCAGCGAACGATCAAACCTCATTTACTTAGGCGATACATTACTTGTAGGAAAAGTCTGTGTTCCACTTGCCTTCCTTTCAAGCACGGATTTTGCTCGCCTGTTCAATTCTTTGAAGGAGTAACGCCGACGCACTTGGCCCAACCATAAGGCGCGCTCCATGCGTTCGTGACTGTCTGGTTGTCCTTTGGAGAATGGCCTCCATTGTCGTTCAACTTTTACTGACGGCTTCGCAACAGTTGGGCTCACAAGACGCCGCCGTTCATAACTCGTGATATGGCCAACGGGAACCGGGTTCATCGGACTCTGTGATTTTGTTGGCGCCACCGTTTTGCTAGTTTGTTCATAAAAGAAATATTCCTCATTTCGAAAATTCAGATACAAACATGGATGTTTGCATACAGTTAACCAAGTACAATCTGATACTTTAAAGAAACGGTGAGGTTTTCTATTGCAAACATGGTAGAATTAGTGTCACTCGGAACAGCTGAAACAAATTACAGGGCTAGCTTTTGAGCAGCAGAAACAAGCCGATGAAAGATGTTCCCAAGTCTTAAGACCAACCGTAGCTCACTATTTGAAGCTGGCTACACGGTATCATCCAAACGCAATGTTTTGGCCAGGAACAGAGTAGATTGACTTGTAGTGTCCGTAATCCGTTGTCATATATTTACCATTTTTCCCGAACTTAAATTACACTTTGTAACTGTCGTACATATTTTATCATGACGTTTGTTTTAATGTTACGAATGCACAACTTTTTCGGCGGGACTAGCTGACTTCTTGCTGAACGATTGTTTGCTGACTGCTGAACCAGCGGGACTAGATCTCTGTGTTTGCGTCAACTGTTGAACGTCGCAATAAATCCCCGTGACATTTTTCAGTGGAGAATAACTCTCCTATCGTTGAATATATCACTCATACGTGAATCATGCGTGGGAACTTTCTACAAGTGAATATTTCTCTCACAGCCGGTTACTGCATTTGGATCGGTGTAGTGGACTATTGGATCTACGCATTCGTGAGTCTTCATTTGACCGCTCATTCTTTTCTTATTGTGATTTTGTGATTTTGTATTAGTTACTTTGCTTGTTAATTTGTTCGAACACGCTGATAAGGTCCTAGTCCGCCACAGACCTATCTGTCAAGATGCTTTTGCTTGACAGCTCATCTCCTTCATGAGCCAACGTCAGTAAGCAGAGGATGATGCTTTTTATTGATCACTACCGTCTCTCGAAAAGCTGTGAAATTCACGAATGCAATGATTGCGTTGTTTTGTTGGAGTCCGTCATCATATGAATTTCAAAAAAGTTCGACATTATCCTCAAGGTAGGTACTAACTGATGTTTGGTTGCTGGATCAATATCCCTTTTTATGACAGCCAAACAGCTGTGTGTCTACTGGCCTCTCCTTTCGTCCGGTGACATCAGCTGTTTAAGGATGGGAATCAATGGCCAAAGACTCATGAAGAAAAATTTTCCAACTTGTCCGTAAGATCCTGGAAACGTGGCGAGTTGTGCCGGAATAAAATGCGGAATTGGCTTTGAGCACGCTCCTTGGAGGCTTGGAGAAGACGTGGACGCGGCTACAGCAAACAGTGTGGGGTTGTATCGGATCACCGTCGAGTTGAGTCACCTCCTGATCTTTGTGATGTGGTCAGTTCAAAGATAGGCAGTGACCAGGAGGTCTGGTTTGCTAGTCTTCAAGGGAAGGCTATGCCATGACTAGAGGGAGTTTTACGGTGACCGTTGCTTTTCGACAAGTTTGCAATGGCTGCGCTTGGGGGGGGGGGTTGTTCGTTTCTCACAAATTATTGGTCAACTGATTATTGAGGGGATTGTAAAGAAAGAGCTAGATAAGGCTGCGCAACCAGAAGAAACGGTGAAACTCTTAAGGATCAAGAATGCGCTGAGAGAAAATGGGTCAACTAAAAGCAGTGGCCATGGTAAAGACCAGGTGAAAGCATTATTTTGAAAATGGTAACTTCAGAAGAATGAACTTAATAATCACGAAAAACAAGAGACAAAGGAAAATCCGCCTTCAGAATAGTGGAATCCAGAAAAGGATCTGTAATGGTGTTGTGTTAGTGCATCGTATTTCGGATCGAACCAGTGCAAGTGGGTCCGCGTTATCGTTGATTTACGGTCACATATACGCCTGCCTGGCAGCCTCCACAGAAACTGGTTGATGAGAGGAGGGAACTGACAGACGGTGGAGCAACTCACAAAAGCGAAGAGGTACGCAGAATGATTTGCCTTTCCTCAGAGTTGAAACAAAAAGTCCATAAAGAGAAATGGTAGGAGTAGACTGTGTCTACAAAACGCAGACAGTTGCAAAGACCTATCCTTGTTGTTCACCGTCTGCAAGCTTCTTCGCAACACAGGAGAGATGAATTTCTGGAAAGGTCTCTGGGCTCCTTAAGTGGCACCGGAAGATCGAGCCGAGCCAACAGTTTGGGAAGAGGAAAATTTTCTGTCAATAGGGTGGATATCAGCTCTAGGTTGAGAGTGTCTGACATCACGTACTGCTGGTTCAAGCTGCATATACTACAGTCATCCATCTTGAAACACTACCCTAGCTAGAGTTTGAATCCACTGATTTATCCGACTGCATACTTCCGTTGGTACCAGATTACTGTAGTCTTCTTAGAGCTGTCCACATAATTTGCCGAGACCTTCTGGGTTTGGATGCCAAAACTTGTGTTTTTGGATGCTTTTGGTAATCTAAGTACCTACTCTGTTTCAGATGGTTTACTCAGGCCAAACAAGCTCTGATTTTGAAATTGGGTCTCGGAAAGTCGTCGTCATCAACATCATCACCATCATCATCATTCTCGGCTGTAATAACCGCGTACTTGTTGTACAGTGGTTATTGCTGTCACAGTTTCGTTCACCGATGATTTGGGAAGATGGGATAGGTGGCTGCACATTGTAGGCGGGAGCTGATAATTTTGATGCTTTAATACAGCACTGTAGGTGGACCGTTAAGTGGGGGACTGGGAAGGGAGCTATGCATTGGATGCATGAGCGCCACTGAGGGCGCGACTGGTCATGTCTGATAATGTCTCTAGCCATTGATGTGGCCAGTCTCGGGGTCCTCATCCAAGAAGACGGCAATTACCAGCGCAGCTGAGTTTGCTGGTAATAGCTTTCATAATTTGCTGCCAAGTCATTGTTTGGGCGCCTCTGTCTCTCTTCCACCATTCACGTGGTTGTGCGAAAAGAGCGCTTCGAGAGAGTTGGTCGACTGGCATACGCAGCACGTAACCAGGCCAGCGCAACCTATGCAGTGCGATCGGTTCAGCTATCGAGGGTGAGTTATTTCTCCCGAATGCCTTTCGACGTACTTTAGCATTGCTGATCCAGTGTTCCCACCAGATTAGGGCAATGCTCCGAAGACATGAACGGTCAACCACTGAAGGTATGTTCAAAATACAACAGACTCGGACATGGGTTTGTTTTGACGTGAATAGAAAAAGTGACCTCACCAAAGCAAATATCCTACTGCAAATTCCGATTTGTGTTGTAACATTAGTTGCCTAAAATCGACGAGACACAACTTAGTTGTACTCATGTTTCGTTTAATCTCTCAATAACTAACGAGTGCTCTTCCATTCCTAATATACAGTCGTAAAATATTTACACCTGGAATATCCACGAACTGGTGTAATGTCCTTCTCTCCTTCGAGATAATGAATACCACTGAAAGGAAGAAGGCCTTCGCTGCAGAGTTATTTGTTAGAAAATGCCAACTGACCGGTTACAGAATATTGGACGGGGAAGCAAAACTCTCATGCATCTTATTTAAAAAAGCTGGACATCCATCTTCTCCTGAACGCGTCTTCCTGAACTTTCCCGGATATTCATTGACTCCACTCATTCATTGCTCAGATCCAAGCAAATGTTACGAAGCGACTCGACAAATTCCACAACAGATCTCCCCTTTTCAAGATACGCAAAGCGAAATTCCAAGAACAACACTTACTACTAGCATACCTCCCCATCAGTAGTAACACCGTGTTTTATTCTTCTCTCCTTTGAGATAATGAACACCTCGACATTGGCTCAGACTACTTGATGGCCACGAAATGGGGTGGCCCCCATGAGCAGCTAGCGGCCCGGGAAGGAAATTCAGTCCCCTGTGTTCTATTGAAATCCGTGGAACCCGTGCGGCTCAGTAGCCCGATTTTTGTAAAACGACCCTCCATTTTCTGTTTGTTGCTTTTGTTGAAATGCTATATTACATACACAGCACTTTTTTCAGTTAATTAGCCGCTAATAAATAGGTCATGGGTTACAACCGCGTTGGAGTAGATCTACTAGAATCACCCCAACCGCTAGTTACTGCGTGGCCTGATCACTTCTTGTCCCAAGTCTGCCATCTAATACCCTTTCATGTCATCGTCATTATCTGTAATTATCTCTTTTTAAGCAGAAAATAATTAGACACTCTCTGGTACCACCATAGAGGAATCTCTTCGACGTAGCAACACTTGGCGTCTGGTTGTCCAGAAGTAAAGTTCCTATCCCAAAATTTAGGTATCAATTTGAACTGGTGGGCTGCGGATGATCAGCGCAACTGAAGTTCGGTGGCTATGACGAGCACAGACCACCCGAACCACCGTACGACAGGGGATTCGCTCATTATATCTCCCCAGATTTTTAGAGACCCATTTTGACCGTGCTTTTCCGTACATTTCAAAACCTTGGTCCGAATACTCTCCCGGCCGGTGATTTGAATTCGCAAGTGAGAAGAATCGGCTAACGTGTGATTCGTCACAGCGGCAAATTTGGGGAGGATGATCCTGATGGCTACATTCCAATATCCCAGTGGTATGATTTTTAGTGCCTGTAGGTTCTTACCAGCAAATATATAACCTCCAAACGGGTCAACTCGGAATTCAACCAGAGTTTGCAGTGCTCTGCAACGTGCCGTCAGGCTTTTGGTGCCGCTTTATGAACCCCGACCATTGTGAGCGAGATAAGACCATGGTAAGACCATGTACTTTACACCTGGGTTGATGGTTTTTATAGCTGAATCCTGTAAGTTGTAACTGGCTTCAAGTTGGAATTACAACAAGACGTGACCAGACAATAAAGGAATTCGGTAAGACCGGGTCTTATTCACGCTTTTGCAAGCTTTTGGTCGGGTTAGGTCATCAAAGGATAATCCCACTGGTGCCCAGATCGCCCACCGGCCTACCAGGGTCGCGCGACCAGTAGCGATGCTGCGATGAATCGGCCGTTCCTGTTAATTCATGCTTTATGTCTTTCCTATCTCCTACAACATCCGTTGCCACTTGTCATGACTACTGATCGCAAAGTACACACAAATGTGATTCAGGATTATAAAATGGAGCTAACCATATGGTTGTCGCGTCCCAACTTTGTCAGGGAGCGAACTAATCGAATTCGGCTCAAGGGCTAACACCTACAGCAAGTCTTCCGAATTCGTTAACCGAATGATTTCACGAAAAGTCTATATCATCACTCCGTAGATGCTTTGACTTGTCTAAAAACCAGTTTGCTTCCTTCACGGACTGCGCCAAGTATGAATCTTTGACCCTCCAGACAGTGCGACTGAAACGCCTGTGTTTGACGAAATGGATGTAACCAAACATCTCAACAAAGTGAACCAATCAAGACTTACTTGCTTATCTTCCTGCAGAATGCTACTCGTTTCTCGATTCTCTTACTTGTTGTTTGTTTGTCTGTTGTGGGAACATCTTTCGTAGATTGGGAAGCCTGCTCTAATGGAAACCACATTTTGGCACTTACTTTACCGGCTTCGGGGACTGTTAGGTAAGTTGTTCTTGTTGATTCGTGACTCATTTGGCTGATGGTGGTGTTGGTGATGACTGCCGAACTGGGGGACTAAGAAGCACGAGATTTTAGTCAAAAGTTGGATATAAAAGACGGGACAAGAAGTGTGGGGTAGACAGTAATTTCATGCAGAATGCTGGTACGTTTTGACAACTTACCACACTGTGACATCTTATCACGTCCTTAGTTATCTCCCTATAATAGAACACGTTCTATCACGAACGCTCGTTCACGAAGATTGATTGCAAAATGTGAGCTGTTCTTTGCCCCACAAACTAGGTCACATGCCTGCTTAAGAACAACAAGACGTCGTTTGTGAGCGGAACAAAGTGATTTTAAGTGAGTTTCGTTCAATTATGAGTGAGCAGGTAAAATCATTCTCTCCTTGCAACCTGTTTTCGCCTCGGGGACTTTTCTGGATATCCCTTTTGTATCGCTAGGTTAATGAAAGAACCAGCAGAACTCTCGGTTTTCACAGGTTTCCATGTCACGCGAGCTTCCGGGGACTCTTCTATTCACCTGTAATAAGTGAACACAGTTGGCTAAAACAGATCCAAACTTATTAGTGAATATTTGTGCAGGACAGCTGTTCTGGTTGTTTGACACATTGCTCGTGTTGTTTAAAATGCAATTTGAGCGTTAGTTCTGCCAGGCGAAATATATTATAGTGTCTTCATTTGCAGGCACAAATCCCTTTACACTAATAGCTATCTATAAGTCGCTCAGGATAACTTCACAAGATGAATGGAACTTTCTTCTTATAAGTTTTCACTAGAGCATCCAGTCAAAACGTGACCAAGTAATGTCTTCTGTGAGTGCACTATGAATGGCGCTGTCCAAGTGCGAGTTAAACACACTGCTGATCGGTCGTTCATCGTCCAACGGTTCAAACTGCCAGCCAGGAGGCCATGGGGTCATGCGATACGCATTATTAATGTACCTGAATTTGGATAAAAGAAGTTGTGCAGTCGTTGGCTTGTTCTCTGAGCTGGGCAATTTGATTGCAATCAAGCACACAAGCCAATGACCACCATCGACGCTGCCTGAGCTACCTATTAGTGAATATTTGTGCAGGACAGCTGTTCTGGTTGTTTGACACATTGCTCGTGTTGTTTAAAATGCAATTTGAGCGTTAGTTCTGCCAGGCGAAATATATTATAGTGTCTTCATTTGCAGGCACAAATCCCTTTACACTAATAGCTATCTATAAGTCGCTCAGGATAACTTCACAAGATGAATGGAACTTTCTTCTTATAAGTTTTCACTAGAGCATCCAGTCAAAACGTGACCAAGTAATGTCTTCTGTGAGTGCACTATGAATGGCGCTGTCCAAGTGCGAGTTAAACACACTGCTGATCGGTCGTTCATCGTCCAACGGTTCAAACTGCCAGCCAGGAGGCCATGGGGTCATGCGATACGCATTATTAATGTACCTGAATTTGGATAAAAGAAGTTGTGCAGTCGTTGGCTTGTTCTCTGAGCTGGGCAATTTGATTGCAATCAAGCACACAAGCCAATGACCACCATCTACGCTGCCTGAGCTACCGACATTTTCCTCTATAGAAGTTGTGCAGTGCTCCTCGGATTTTCAGCATAGAGTGACCTCCTATATTAGACAAAATCTCATTTTAAAGTTACATTTTTGGCCAAACGATCAGATCCTTGGAACCTAATAGGCCCGCTTCAGATGATTGTGCCGGCCTGTCGCATTCAGAAGTTACAGTTATTTGGAATGCGATACACGCAAAGTGCATACATCTGTAAGCAAGTGACCTTTATTAAACTCGTACATTACCTCAATATCAGTCACAAAATTTTACAATACTTTTTGGCAAACAAATGGGATTAGCTGCAGTTCTAATCTATCAAGTGTTCAAGTGTAGTAAGCGATCACTTGGGGCTGATCCTGTCACTTTCACTTGGAAAAAGTAGATGGTAGACTGGCGTCTAGATTTAACCATACCGTCTGTTTACCAAGTTACTACTTTTGCTCGAACCTCCTCGAGGTTTTCAATGTTACCTTAACTTTTTTTAAATGTTAAGTTGGATACATCATTTGTCGTTGGTCTGTATAGTTCAACTCAAAAGTTTACGACACATTCGATACGGGTCCCTGTTTTCCCCAAACTCGCATTCCACGTTGGAGCTTCAACAATCAAAGTTCTACAACGTTATAATAGTTCAACTTTCCAGTACATGCTCACGTAACTAGAAAGTATACGGTTTGCAAGCGAAAAAAAGCCTGGAGTTACGCGCCAGTCTGTAGTAACAGGTTATAAAAGCAAAGGCGTTCTTGGTAGAATGGAGCTACACTACACTGCAAATGCTCGCGAAAGAGACTATAATCGTCCACTGACTCATCATCAGAAACAGTCTAGCTGGAATTCAGATAGTAAAGATCAAAAATGAGTCCAGCTCAGTGCAGTGGTAGCCACCATGAGACTTGTTGAGCTCAACTGAACTCCAAACTATTGAACCAGCATAAATCATCGGTGTCCTGTATTCTAGTCACTGCTCACCGAGGAAGAAGTAGTGGAAGTAACAAACATATAATCAATCAAGTTCGAAGTTGAACATTTCAACGGATAATGTAACTGCACGGTAATATGATGACGAATTCCAAAAAGAGTGCTTCGAAGATTGTAAAGTTACAGATAACATTTCATTCCCTTCTTGAAGTTTATTCGAGTTGAGAACAATCAGTGAAAATCCGTTTTTCTACTTTTTTGAGAATCATCAGGAGTGCGTATCTCACGAATGCCCAAGTATGCCCGAATTCCCGACCCACTGGTCAGCAGTTCGGCGAGATATCACACATTTCTTGCTAAACTACACCAGTAGGCAGCTGAATCCCATAGAGTAACATTCATCAACAAGAGACAATCGTCGTTCAAGGACACTTCCTGACATCCTCATGGGTCTGCCACTGTGGTCCCCGTAAGAGTTATCAACAACTGGATGACCAGTCCCAAGATGCTATGAAACCTCTGGTTGGAAAGCTACACCCCAGGCGATGGACGGTGTTCGCTTAACTCTGTTCACACAGTTAATTTATATTCGGGTGAGTTCAGCTTCTTGGCGATCTTGTGTGATGGAATATGTAGACGGAAAAGTACGGAGAAGGAAAACAAAGTGAATACTCATCATCCATTTCTTCTAGACCGGGGTTGACGCACATTCGCACGCGTGGGTGTCTCCACGGTGAGAGTTCAACTGGGATGCACTACTGGCCAATAAATACATGTAGAACATAAGGTTGACGGAAACTTGGGGACTGCGCCCATCTGATGAGCCCCAAGTAGAGCGAAACCGGTTCATGGGCTGCTAAGAGTTTTCAGCGATCTTGTGAGTAGTTTCCTTTATAAAAATACATGTGGACTGCTTAACGTAGTCATGCGCATTAAAGTGAGCTGCACGTCACTTAGTCAGTACTGACCAGGAGAATGTTTGTGACTTTGCCAGGCTTGACAGCTTACATTCACAAAATGAAGACCAAAAAACTATACCTAAAACACGTTAAACTCAATCTACGCTGAAAAGCCGGGAAGCACAGTACACCAATTTTCTTCTCATTGGGATTCGTGAGCAGTGCGCTCGAGCAGGGCGTCTCGAACTACTGACTTTCGGGCTAGTAGTTGCGACACTTGACCGTTTTGCCATCGTCATCATCAGTGTAATTAACTCACACCTAAACTCTAGGGGCTTGTTGGATGCGCACTAATGATCATTTCCGATAGGTACAAAACAGCTTCTCAGCTTTCCATTATAAATAGGGTCTTAACTGCACAACGGAACCTTCATTAAGTGTCCCAAACCTCCTTATACTACCAACCTGTTTTTAATCGTCCGAATCCAGCTTACTGAAATTTCGGGTCATTCCATCTAAATCTTTGAGTTCGTTTCGGGACACCTAACGGATAAGGACTTAAGTCTCACATTCTTTTCCATTGCCTGTCTGAGGCCGAAATTTTGGGTATCCCGGCTGAGCTACCAACGTTTGAGTGTCCGCTTGTTGTCGTTGCTAGTCGTTTATTAAAAATGAACAGCCATCTACTCATAGTCTTTGGTAAATACATTTCCGTCAACTCATTTCAACAACGTATCGAAAGCTGGCACACCGTCAACGGGTACTCCACTCTATTCCGTAAATGCAGAGACATACAGCTTAACTCAGTAAAAATTTTGCTATCCGTCTGTGCCCTTGGATTATATAAGGCAGGCAAATTACAAGGATGGAAAGTGCATCGCGTAGTGTTCCAGATCGATCGGTTTAATTGAGGTGACTATTATGTGTTAGTTCGCGTTTAGTGTCCATAAGCTGAAATCAAGGGTATTTTACCGAACAGAGGCTCTCATTAAAGTAATTCCGAATTTGTATATAAATTTCCGTGAGAACGTACAGGCTAGTTTCATACATTCACCAGTGGTGAACAGCATTGTTTTAGGAACAGCTTTTGTCTGTGTCCGCTGCGTAAACGTTTTCATCACTAACGTACTTTCTTAACTATGACCAATAAAAGTACACGACTGTTCAATTCGCCTTGATGTCTGAATATAGCTTGAAGGGTTTGAAAAACTAACGGAAAACTTCTCTTCACGCTACCCTGGTATTCCAAAGCAAATAAACGCAATAAGTGATCAGTGCTAGTCATAAACACTTTGAGTGCAGTCTTTCTTTTGCACTCCTCTTTTTTTGGCCCGATACTAATGGAACTGCAATTAGACATACTCTTAGGTGCGAACAACTTGATCAATTTGCCGTTACTGCCAGAGTTATTAACGCATTGGTTGGCGGCCTCGTTAGACATGGATGCAACTGGTAGAAGGTAGTTGGTCAGTATGCCAAAGCACACGGACTAACCTGGGTTTGAAAAGGTCCGCCAAAGAAAATGTTAGTCTCAGTCTTGGGTGTTGTAAAGTTACAAATCGCCTGGTATTTTACATCAAAGTCAACTTTCACAACTAGATGTTGTTTCAAAGCTCCGTAAAATATGCGACTGCCCCCATCCTCCACACTAATATTTGACTAAATGTCTACGCTCCTAAAGGAATTATGTGGATACTTTCGTTCTCACTTCATGGTTGGTAAATTAGGTACGTCGACTGCCCTAGAACCGTGAATCGGCTGCCACTATGGATCCCACAATGAGTGGTGTACAGCGTTTCCATGACAACTTTACCCATGCAATATAAAGTAAAATTTCCAAAGAAATCTTCCTGGACGAAATGAGGGCGAGCTTGTACGATGCTTCCACCGATGTTAGGAGTCGTTCATTGAAACCGTCAAGATGTACGCGCACGCCAGAGGGCGACTTACGTTTATTCGGTTATAGATCTATATCGAGAATCAAAAACACTTTTACGGAAAGCAGAACTTAGACGATTGTATGCACTGAAATGCTGGAAAAAACTTGGTTTTTGATGTTATACCTGAAACCATTTTTCGGTTTCAACCAGCTTGGTGACCACCCGAAGCTCGGATTGCCACCCAGCTTTCGCTAATCTATGTCTTTTTGATTCTTCAAAATGGGACATTTCTCACGAGTGAAATAAATTTCTATCGAAAAAAATCGTTAACCTTCTCATAAAGTGAGCGGCTGACCCTTTTGGAATTGGAGAATCGGAGGAAGCCTTACATGAACTATTTGCTCTAACCCCACCCACTCCAAAATGTGTTCTGTTCATTTGTTGCTATCAAAAGATTAATGTGTTCAGAATAAAGCAGTTTGAAATGATCCTTGATGAAAAACCGATGTTGTTTGTCAGAATATTGTTAGCTGGAGTGCGTTAATCGGTAGCGAATCAGGTAACAGTTGATTTGTTTGCCGAACTTTGTAATTCGCTTACAAGCGAGCAGGTAAACAGTACTCGATCAACAACCAACCTTTAACCCAACACATTAATCGGTAATTTGAAATCTCCTTGCTTTTCTCCGGGAAGATTAATCCTTGCTGAGTATTCATATGTAAATCCACTGTAACTAGGCAGTCGCCCGAATGACTACGTCCATTTTTTTTATTTTTCTGCTGTCAGACTGTATTGTCCGATACAATCATACAATCACCAGTTGTAGGATAGGGGGTTTTCAGTGTGGCACATCTACGTCGTTGATGTTTCGCCTATGTCACAAATTGACGGTACTGATCAGGGAATATGGCACTAGTTCCGTTTCGATTGGGTAAACTAGCAACTCACCAACAAGTTCTTCTTCCGATTGAAGTGTGATCTTTCCAGGTAATAGCGCTTCCAAAAACCAGGAGGTAGTTCATCGTTTGGTAGCAAGTTGGGAAGTTCCCAGTTTTTCAGTTTACACTGAAGGTACCAGAGTGCGTTGGAATCTGCCAGAAGTTTACAGTACCAGCACACCTATTCAGAAGTTTGTATAAAAGGAATGCAATTAGTGGCTTAGCACAGAGGTAGTTCGTGAGCTTGGTGATGAGCTAACCTCCTATTACAAACTGAACATTTCCGATTGGTAACGGGTATTTGAAAACCGAATGATATCGCTCTGGCGTGAAACAGTTTGCTTAGTCAGACAGGATTATTCATGTGCACTGGTGCAGTATTGGTAAGACGTTTTCATCGCGAGTTAGATATCCAAAGTTCAAACCCTTCACGACCGAAGTTATGTGGTGTTGATGAGCTTTCTATCCTTGGTATGAACTCATCGGAGTCAATGTGCCAAGACACGAGGATGAGTGTCCAAATAGGAATTTTTCAAGGTCTGATGAAAGCCCATAGAGGCCTCCATCTTTTAAAATTGTGCAGGTCATTTAGAGCGAAGCATGTTACCTTTATTCTCGTAATTTGATATGGGTCACACGTTCCTACGCTACCAGACAGCGAGGCTGGACAGTGGCTGGACTACCAGTAAGTACTGAAAAAAATCTCTGGTAATTTATTCTCAGGACATCTCATCCAAACAGAACCAACCTGTCAATCATGAGACAACCTGAACTGGTTGCAGGTGGTTGCGGGATTTGCATGATTAACGATCACATCACTCTCGTGTGAAGCGTCGCCCTTCTGTCCTAGAGCAGTCAGTCAGATGAGTCCATACCAGAGGGAAAAAGCACCAAAATCGAGTCCCGTCCTCATTAGCGCTGATCAGCGGTACGTAGTCCTGGCTACTGGGGGTTCTGAAGTCCTCATATCTGACATTCGAGGCGAGCGTGTTACCACTAGTGCGGCTATTTAGGATTTTTCTCTCAGTGGTTATCTGCCATTTTCATACAGTGGATCAGAATTCTCTTAATATGTTGAAATATCACCGCGACCTTTACCATATTCACTAGTGATGTACAAAGAAACCATGTGTAGTATCTTTCTGACTCTCTCTTGGTTTGATCAGGAGACCATACAGCTAAACTTTGGGACATTTGAGATTTGGATAAGGGTCGGTACTACAATGCTTGATTTTGGCAAATTCCGACCATGTAATATAATAATTCATACAGCCATTTCTAAAGGTCTTATGTTTCTCGACTGAATTTATCTCCCATTGCCCATGTGCAATCAAAAAAGGTCACTACGACAATCAGGCATTAGGCACACGTTGGAATTTCGTTGAAGGACTGGAAAGAGGTTCTCCGTTTCTGTCTCTTGATCGTTTTCCCTGTGGGATCTCCTCATAATAGAAGGATTAAGAGCATAATGTTTGTTAAGCACCTCAAGTTTCAATTTTGATGAAAGTTTTTTTTTACTAAAACGCAGGGCTATGGTATTCATCATTTCGTTTTTCCTGGCCCGAAGGCTACTATGAGTATGGGCAAATCCCTCGAGTCCTGTTAGGCCAAGACAAACGAGACAACACAAAGTCTATCGCTCAATCACTGTATGCGCTTGACCGTATTAAGTGAACTGGCCAACCGCTTTCCAAAGTGTTAGTTTCCACGTTTGCACGTCCTGAATACTTTTTATTTTCAAAAGCCATACACGACATGATAATCCATATTTTCGCAAATTTGCATGAATATTTTGGCCGGAATCTTCTAGCATTCACCAGACTTACTCGACTCGCGATCACAACCTGTGCGGAGCTGGTGTTCAAAATGCTGATGAAGTAATATTTGTCAATAAACTTGTCGCTGCCCATCCTAATTTTAAGCCTGTCCAACATATATCATTGGTATCAGGGATGGTTCCGTCAGCAGTTGTCTCACAATTATTCAGACCCTTTACCAGGTAGAAGGGGATTTCAGCCTGTGGAATCCCGCGAAAGGCGGGAACATACGGATTTAGGGGCTACAATCAGTGATTGTTTATAAAGTGATTCTGGTGTTTTCATGACTTCATGGTTCTTTTTATGGCAAAGTAACTGCCCAATCCTATGTACTACTGGTAGAGCCTGAGTAGTCAGGAGATTCACGTAAGCATAGTGAAATGCTGGTAGCTCAGGTAGCGTAGTTGGTGGTCGTTGGCTTGTTCGCTGAGCTGGCCGATTTGATTGCAAACGTTTCATCACCAATCGAGGCGACATCATCATTGCGTTATTGTGGAGCGTAGTAGTGCCTAGCGGTAGGTTGGTGGTTGTGCACAACCACCGTTAGGTTTCTGAAATAAAGGGCAGCGTTTCGCGAATGTTTCGGGTTGTATCATTCCAGCGCGGAGCAACGGTCTCACTCGTTTTGCGAAGTTTACAAATGCCAGATTTGTGTGAACCAGTCTCCAGTTCCACACTAGGCAAGCGCGCATTTTAAAAGGACTTTCATTCATCATCCTGTACTTATTGCAAGCATGGTTATCAGACCTGACAAAAAAGTAACCGACTAACTGAGAATTTTATGTAACCTACCCCTAAGTAGTCCTATGTGGAATGGGTGCACACAGTCAGACTGTTGCAACGGAATTCGACCTTGCCCAAATGTATATCTCCCTTACTCGGCCTATGGTATCTATTTCAGCTGGAACACCAAATGTACCAGCTCGTGTCTAGGTCGTCCTTGTTGGACTAATCCTAGTAATTCCGCTTGTATGCCTTTGTAGTTCATTGGTTAAATACCGAATGGTGTCCAGGATTTGTCTGGTTCTCATCTTAACGTATGTGTTTTTGCTGCTTTCCATCAAATGTTAACATACTTCAAATAGATTAGCGAAGCTGTCGTAAATTCTCGGCCAAGATCCAGTCATTGTACACGAAATATTTCCTCTGAAACTTCTACTGGTCGCAGATTTTTTCATCTCCACTTGGTCTTTTGCTAACACAACCTGGTAAAATAAGACATTTTTGCTTACAGACGGTTTGATACCAAACCTGGTTCACATTTTCAACCGTAACTTTATATTCTGGTTATAGCGAGATTTTTGTCGACTTGACGTTAAAGACCTAATTGGTTGGTGCTCGGTAACTCTTACAAGAATATGTAAGATGATGAATAAATCGGACTTTCATTAACCAGTTATCGCCAGCTTCCGCATAGCTAGTGGGGCAGACAATAGTCTTCTACTTTTAGTATGGAAGGTATCCTCTGTGTAGTTGTCCCGCTGTATTACGTTACTTGAAGCTATCGTACTTATGTCAGTATTTTCAGAAAGATCTGAAGTAACGTTTTCATGAACTAATCTATTAGATGTCCTCCTAAAAGAGCAAGGTGGAGAAAAGCTAGTGGACGGCCGAAGTGTCAGGAAAGACTAAGCACTATATGTGAACAACCGTCAAACACAATAAATGGTTTTCTGGTGGTCACACACACCAAGATCTCTTCTAAGCAAAATGCTGAGCAACAAACCCACCTTGGACACAGCAATGAGCGATTCAGCGTCCAGAAATGAAAACAAGTAAATGAGTAAATGGTAGGGTAATAGGCTTGTAAAGTTGACTCCCGCTTTTGCTGCTTTCTTTTGCAGGATATACTCGGCTGCACTCTTCTGGACCGATTCATATCGATTTAGAAGTTCGGTGAAAAGAAGCTGCTTTTGAACCTCGGAAAAGTCTTCAAACTGTGGACGGAACGAAGTTTATCAGAAGAAAATAGGATGATAAATAATACCCATGATTTGACGCAGGCTAACTGCAGATCGAAATTCTAATATTAAGAAGCATCAGGTGAATCTATCAAAACAGCTACTTCGCTTTTGTTCCTGCAGGACTTGTCGTCAACTGACTGCTGGGATTCTTTGGGATGATCACATGTTTCGACAGAATAGAAAAACATTGTTTCAGGTCATCCATCATCCATTCTTACCAGCACATCTAAAATATGAAAATCGTATGATGTACACACGGCAACGAATACTAGAATACAAGCAATAAATTGCAAATATATGCTACAGAATGGATGAAGTGAAATGCATGATTTGACGCAGGCTAACTGCAGATCGAAATTCTAATATTAAGAAGCATCAGGTGAGTCTATTAGAACAGCTACTTCGCTTTTGTTCCTGCAGGACTTGTCGTCAACTGACTGCTGGGATTCTTTGGGATGATCACATGTTTCGACAGAATAGAAAAACATTGTTTCAGGTCATCCATCATCCATTCTTACCAGCACATCTAAAATATGAAAATCGTATGATGTACACACGGCAACGAATACTAGAATACAAGCAATAAATTGCAAATATATGCTACAGAATGGATGAAGTGAAATGCATTTCACTTTGTCATAGGGTAAAAACCTACTAAAGAGCTATCGTTGCACGTTTGAGAGAAAAAACATCACCAATCAATCGATGGGATCTACTTTTTACGGAAAGTCTGTGCCAAAATTTATAAAAGCTGTATTTACGAGACTGACAGTGACGCAGTGCGGGTTCAATGCATTTGCTGACCCCCTTTAAGCCGCATCCCATTTGGCCGGGTTTACAAATACTCATTTTTGTTGTTCACGTTCCTCATTACAAAATGTCATGGGGGACTATTTCTTCGGAATCAGTTTGCCATAAAGGAACCAGCAAATCCTTCGCCGGTGTGAACAAGCGTGTTTTGGCCATACGAAGGCAAAATTAATTTGGGTCACCAGTCAGAAAAAATTAACTCTTCCATTTTTTCTGGTCTCGGAATCTTTAAAAGGCTATTTCTTTTTGTTGTCGTGACTTTGTGTATACATGGCTATTTGTGGTTTCCTGCAAAATTCTATTTGTCAGGCTCAAAGCAATGGTATTATTTTGAATTTGCAACTGATTTTCGGCTGGCTTTTAGTGACAATAATAGCCTCATTGGAGACGGGTCAGAACTTGCCATGTTTGCACCTAGCCAGACAGAAGAGCAGCAGTTCCACGCTGCTTTTAACGTTTTTTAGTCTTGTGTGCCCCATATCTGTGCATTTTTTGTGCAGTTTATGGTGAAAAAATTATTCTTACGCTCTTACACATATCTGTCTGGGTGATGTTCATCAGTGCTAAACTTTATTCGGTGTTCCAGTAGAATCAAGCTGGCATCTAAGTAGTGATACAGCGACATTTCTGTGCGGGGCCCGTGCAGTTTATCAGTGCTAAACTTTATCCGGTGTTCCAGTAGAATCAAGCTAGCATCTAAGCAGTGATACAGCGACATTTCTGTGCGGGGCCATATAAGTTAGATAAAGTCCTGAATATCTCCATTCATTGTAATGTTATTGTCGACACGAAAGAATATAGTAGATCCACTTCACTTCAGTTGAGTTCATCTAGGCAACCCTGAACCTCGAACAAATGTATGGCGGTCTTTGGAGGTGCAGCTTATGGTAGGATAGAAAAGCAGTAGAACATCAAAAGAGCTGTGGGTTATTGATCAAGAACGAGAGAAAAGATAAAAACACTGACCTATGCGTAACACGGCTACGCTGGCGAGTACTTTCAGCCATTCACGCACTTGATCAATGCTATTCTAACCTCATAGGTGACGAGCACCAGCGAAACTAAAAGACTTTGTAACGAATTTCATGCACCGGGTGATATCTTCAACGGGAACCCTGCTTTAGCAAACGGTTTTAAACGAGATAAGCAAAAACCGCCTGTTAGGATCATATGCCTAAGCCAATGTTGTTGGTGCATCCACATAAGTGCGTCGTAGCTATTGTTTCACCAAAATCCACCTAGTGCACTGTGATATTTCTTATTCTGTTTTCCCTTGACAGGTACGATATCTCAAAGACGCCATCAAAGTCAAACGACATTCTCTCATCAGAGGTGCACAGGGACAAGGTATCACAACTGTAACCCAATACTTATCGTAATATCACTTTGTAGAGTGTCATTTACCGAGCAACTAATTTCACATTGATCACTAATTGTGAAGTTGGAAGAATAGAAAATAGTTTCCAGCATTTGTTGATGCTACTGCACAGACTAGCAAAGCTTTCCCGTGATTAAGATGCCATCACCAGGACTGATGACGCATCTGTCCCATCTTATAATATCATCTTTTACCCTAGGAGTACTAAGTTTAAACTAAATTGCGTAGTTACTCGCTTTGTGTCCCGGTGAATCCTGAACCAAGAAGCGCAACATAACTTCCGGTCTCTGAGGTGATACTGAGAAGAACTCTGTCTTGATTTTGGACATACAGCGGACGTTTACCCCATAAATAATCAAACAATGAAAGGAGTTTTATAAGAATGGCTCTGTCAAAAACCATTTTGATGGCGGAACCAAAATAACGATATTTAAATAACCTGCCCCAAGAAAATGGGAGCATAAGGATTGGAGACATTTGGCAAAACTCGGACATACGGCGGACGTTTACCTCATAAATAATCAAACAATGAAAGGAGTTTAATAAGAATGGCTCTGTCAACAACTATTTTGATGGCGGAACCAAAATGATGATACTTAACTAACCTGCCCCGAGAAAATGGGTGCATAAGGATTGGAGACATTTGGCAAAACTTTTCTCCACAGCTTTGAAGGTGACAGATCGCCAACGAAGTTGACTGAGGTATGCTACTTTAAGGCCTTGAATTTAATTATCTGTCTTATGCAAATTTAGTGGCATCATATAAGCCAAAACAAACACGAAAGCTGTGAGACGCTGTCCCTTATAAATTCTGGTAAGTCTGCATGGAATAACGCTAGCAGGAATCTTAGAAGTGACGGTATAAAAATTCAAACACCCTTTAAAAAAAGAAGCAGTATCAGACACCTACATCTTTTTGTCCTCCGTCCCGCTTTAAAATTCTTTGACGGAGATTTGTCGGACTGTACATGAGCCTCTTTTTCTTCAAGAGGGAGCTCATCAAGCTTGTTTCGTTTAACAATTTAGATTTCTTTTTAGATGCTGTCATCGAACGCTTCATGTCCATCGATAAATATGTTCTAAGTGAACCTATAGCTTGGAGGAAGAAGGTCGCCGTCTGTAGCTAAGTTCAGTGAGCTTAATCAGAGCACTGCTTGGAAGGGTGTCAGTTGACTGAACGCTCAAGTTTGTGCAAAGTGTTTGTACCGCTGTGATCGAACGGCAATCCAAGCACTGTCCCAGACTAATTTTGTTGTTTTTTTACTTTGAGAGTACCCAAACGACTTTGCCCTCTCTTGCTGTTGTCAATTTTCTCAAATGGATATTCGACTCATAAACCATAATCATCCTATCCATGTGCTCCTCCATCACCGGCCCCTCAGGGTCTTTCCAAAACTAACGTATTTGCCAGTGCCTTGGTTGGAGCCTGACGCGGTACATTGTGCACTTCATAAGCAGATTTTAGCTCCCATCTACTCTTGATGGAAAAGGGAGTTTTGTTTGGTTATCAAGCTGTCATACTTTGCCTCATGAATTAGACCAACAATACAGTAGAAGAAGTTAGATAACTTTTGTGGAACCTCAAACAGACCTCCAACTCAAAAGTTTGACACATGGAGCAACGGGTTTCATGTTTTTTTTGCAGGCTGTCCCAAATCCTGATCCTTCTGTTTTTGTAGTATTGAGTAACTTAATAAAGCAGACACAGCATAGTTAACTGAATCCAAATGTGACTGTGTGCAAGATAAGTTTCGTAATTTACCCTGGGCTTTTTAATTCCAAAAGGAGGGCAGAGGTTCTGGCGCGAAATGGTTTGAACCGGTAATTAGCTATGATGAAGCGATCTGAACATGAGATTATTTCAATGAACGTTTCACAAAATGCACTTTCTTGCCACCATCGTAAACGTTAAACTACTGATCGTCAAAAATAGGTCACTAACCTTACACTGTTATCATACAGGACAAAAGTTCACCTCCAAGACAGCCTCATATTGCGATTGCTTGTCAGGAGTAAACGTGTAGCCTTCCTGTACCAAACATCACGGCGTTCCATCCAGTAAAACCCATGGATCGTTGAAGCGCGTAAATTAGACTACCACGTCATGCTGGTGAGTATCCATTATCTTCTTGCAGACTTAAAAATGTGTTTAAACATAGATAATGAAGGCCTACAAAAACGTAACGTTGCAAAAACTTTGTCCGTCTATTAACGTGTCGAGCACTTAGTAAATAGTACAGGTGTAGCAAATCAGGTAGGAAAGGATTAAATTCCGCTCAAAAAGATTTTGATTTCGGTAGTAGAAATAGTTAAAATTTTAAATAAGAAAATAATTTTTGGACAATCAACAGAACGATTTGCCCACTGATCCCGGAGTACCAAAGTTATCCCTTCGAAGCATGATCGGTACCAAATGGTCTAAAAAACACGATGTGAAGACCTTCAACCCAATAAAATGTAGCATGTTAACTGGGTCACTATACCAAAAATCATATAGCCAAAAGTGGTTGCTACTTGATTATATTATATAATTTACCGTAGCGAGCCTAAGCATGCAGACCTTTCCAGCCCTACAAGACACAATTTGCCGACAGTTATTATAATGCTATTATGTATATTTTCAAATCTCAAGGCAATAATTTTCAGCGGACGTCGTAAAGCCCATTCGCGAGTGTCCTCTAACCCGGCATACAGATTAAGGTAAATCTTAGAAAGGCACAAGTTCGTGAGCATTCTCATACCTGGCAAATAGAGAAACTTACACAAAGGCTCGTAAATAAAAAGGCAAATATAATATAATGCTGAACAACACCACAGGCGTTTTTTCTCGCTAAGATGGAATACTAACGGTAAAGATTAGTCCTATTGTTAACCACCAGAAAGCTGCGCTTATGTCCCAGGACGATTTCCGATTTGTCACTCGCCATCCGATATATAACAGCCATTCTTTGGTTTCAGAGAATTTGTAGGACTATCCATGAATAAAAATTCATTGGCAACAAAATCACACATCAGTAAAATTGCTTCAAATTTTATCAATAAATGTGGATATATTATGATTTTCCCTGTCTTTTAAATGAACTGCTGTATGCAGTTGAACAAAGTCTCAAATGACTCATGTCTGACTCGGTTGATCAAGGGCGCAGATAGTTGGGTAATTGATTGCACGCGTACGTGTCGTCCACTCTGTGAACGTTAAAATTAATTGAGCAACGCATTGGATAATCTCTTTATCTTGAGATGACATGGAGTAAGGACACAGACTACATGCTATAAAGAATGGTGTACACAAAACAAAGAATGTGTCAGTCAAAATCTGCAGGTTCAAAA